AAGTCCCAGGCCAGCAGGAAGGTAAGTGGCTGCTGCCAGGTGGGGGAGTGGTGTGCAGGGTTGTGGGAGAGGGTCAGCGAAGGTGTGTGAAGATGTGCGCGAGAGACATCACACAGGTTGGGTAGGGTGTGCAGGGGAGTGCAAGAGGTGCTGCGCGGTCAGGAACGGTGCATGGGAGAGGTGTGGTGCAGATCGGGGAGTGTGTGTGGAGGTGCGGCGCAGGTCAAGAAGAGTGCACGGGGGTGTGTGAGAGGTACCATGCAGGTTGGGAAAGGCGCATGGGGGTGCGGTGCAGGTCAGGAAGGGTCTGTGGGGATGTGCAAGAAGTGCCACACAGGTCAGGCTGCATAGGGGTACATGAATGCCTGATGCAGTGCAAGCACAGAGGGGCTGGGGAGGAAGCACAGGTGGGGGAGACTTACCCCAGTGACTTGAGACCTTCCCTGCTGGCTTCCCCATTGACTTTCTGGGGAAGCCAGCAGGGAAGTTTGCATATGGTGATCACATAATCATGGGGTGCTAGGCAACCAGTTGTAAGTGTGAATGTGTTGCCAAGTGCCCAGATCATTATCACATGACCATGGGAACACTGCAATGGTCATAACTTCAGGGACCGGTCATAAGTCCCTTTGTTCAGCACTATTGTAACTTTGAATGGTTGCTGAATGAATGGTCATAAGTTGAGGACTACCTGTAGTAAGGAAAAAAACATGAAAACATTTGTTGTATATTGATCCAAATATGTTCAGATAGAGTCACAAACACGCTATTCTGTGCCTGGTCTAAATTTAAATTAATGGAAGCATCAATACAAGAACTGACAAGAATATATTGTGCTTCTTTTCACAAAAATTAAAAGTCCAACAATTCTGACTTGAAAACGTTTCAAAATCAAGACACTTTCATGAACATCTGTATAATAATGTGCTAAGGAATTCTATAGTGAGAAGACCACGACAGAAATTCCCAGTCCAGAAAGGTGCAAAAGAGTATTTACTAATCACACCCGCACATCATATTAAGCCATATCATTACTCAGTTGTGGACTGGACAGCAAGCATGATAAACTAACTACAGGGAGGCTTGCTCACTGTTGACTTATTATGTCATGTGAACCAGAAACTATGGTTTGTTCTGAAAGGAACTAGCACAGTGCTCAGTTTTCATAACATGCCAAAATAAATTGTAAAACAACTGCCATAGTGTGAGAGCCACCTTTACCCATTACATGAATCTTTGCTCATGACCATATTACCAGTATGGAATAATATGCTTTAGCATGATATGAGAATGGATTAAGTTATCATCAACAGAGCTAATCAGATCCAAAAGAGGGGAAGGAAGTGGAAGCCCTAGGAAACTAATGGAGGAACTATGATAGGCCTATGAAAAGGAGAAGGTAGGACTTGAAAAGAAACAGATCAAATAAAAGACAGATGAGAAATGAGGATGATAGATCCAAATTCAAAAAAATAAGAAGAGATAAGTCAGAAGTCCAAGGAAAACAATGTACAGAGGGATAAGCCTTGCTTGAAATAGCTATAGCCTTTTAGTATTAAACAACTGTTACTATTCCTACCTACATGGTAAAAAGACTCAGTGTGAAAGTAAGCTAATACTTAATAGTTCTGTACCATGCGTAACCAGATACTTGACTCACTATCACAAATCTTACCAATATTCCCACTCACACAAATGTAAATGTTATTTAACAACTTTCAAAAATTTATGAAAATTACATGGGTTTTCAAATAATCTTTTGACTAGTCATTGACTAATATAAAAGATTATCATAATGGTGTATATACATACATATTTATTACCTATTCGTAGTGTTCTTTCTGCATTTTTCCTTGTGCCATTACAAATACGTTGCAATTCACATTTTCCAGTTACCAGTCTTACGATCCATTTTAGCCAAAATCGAAAGATATTTGTATAGAAATATCTCCATAAGTGTATAATCATTTTCTACAAAAACATACAAATAAGAAAAAAATAGCATAACATTATAAAACTTGATTCACATACTAGAGCATATGTGCAGCCTAATACTGCCTACCTTTAAGTAAACATAGAAACTGTGCTGTTAGCTTTTGTTAATCTGGTTTTACAGTAAATTTATTTATTTATTAATCAAACAGCCTACATATGTCTATTGAAAACCACAGAACTTCAGATGCCCCTTACTGCCTGTTAAGCTCATGGTTTGGTTTCATACTCTTATGTTATCTAATTTTCTCCATGAAGCATCTGACTATATAGAAGGGTACCTAAGCATTTATTCTGAATGCTCATCCCCTCAACAAGCCATAAAGAAAAGTTTAGCAAAATAGCAGAATAGTACTTTAAAAAGACAAGTTATTTGCATGGCCAGGATTTCAATAGTCTGCTCTAGCAGGTTTTTTTTTTTTTTAAAAGAGCCAGATGCCAAATTTTTCTCATCTGGTTTGGACTAGCACCCCAGTATTTTCACAAAACCAAATATTGTAGTAACATCAACTGCGTCAATAAACAACGCTTCAGCACTGAAAAAATGTGCATCGGTGTCCTCCCCACTCCGCCTCCATAATGCGCCTGATCCCAGACGCTGATGTTGGACCACTTTCATTCAGCAGCTAGCCGAACACAACCGAGCCGAAAGGTGGATTTTCTCCACCGTCCCATGCCCTCGGGCGGATTCCTTTATTCCCCACCTCCTCTTCGGGGTGCCCGTCCTCCTTTGAACGTTACCAAGCTGGTTACATCACTCTAGAGAAACCCAGCGAAACTGGAAGCAATCTCGCTTCACCTTCACCAGCAGATCCTTCTTATCCTAAAAGGAAGTCGCCTTGCCACAGACCCGGAAGTGGGATGGGGCCGGGTAGGAGGTAACGGCATTTATTCAATCCTGTTATTTTTGAACTAGGCGTACAATTCCCCTCCCTTTTCTTTTCTTTTTCCTCCCCACCTCCTTTGAAATGACATGAACTGGAGCGACGGCCTCCATGGGGGCTCCCTGGAGCCCACAGAAAGCCCGCCAAAACCAAAGAGCCGGACGCGAATCTTCCCTTTTGCGGGTGGGCGGGGCTTTCAATTATAGTGCCAGGACGGCATCGAGAAGAGGCTGGTAACCGCCGCCGCTGCCGCCATCACAAAGCAACGGTTGCCGCGACAGCCAAGCAGGCGCGGCGTCCGGACGCGTTACCGGCCCGCTGGCAACTGGAAGAGATTGGTCCCTCGACTGGAAGGCGGGAGGGGAAGAGCGGTGTCGAGGGGCGTGACGCGCGAGGGAGCCACTTATTGACGGCGGGGTTCACTCGGTCGTCATAAAGCGTCTTTTTGTAGCGGGGCGTCTCCACTCACGGCGGGGAGGCCTTGTCTTTGCGGAATTCCGGAGGAGGAGGAGGAGGAAGCAGCGTCTCAGTCCGGAGTTGGAGACGAGGAGTAACGCATGTATGGAAAAGTTATCAGTCGTAGTTCAGGTCCTCATCCTCCATTCTCGTATCTTAGTGGTTCCCCAAGTGTGGATTGGAGAACCCTGGGGGTCCCCGAGACCTTTTCAGGGGGTCCACAAAGTCAAATGAATATTTAGAGTTTCCAATACAGTATATAGCCATAGATATAACCCACATAAACCAAAGCTCTTTGGGGTCCTCAGTCATTTTTAAGACTGTAAAGGGGTCCTGAGACCAAAATGTCTCAGATAATGCTGTCATATCTCATTGACATAAATTAAACAAATAAGCAACAAGTCATGTAGTTATGATTAATACATTATAATAGTCCTTACTTTATTAAATTGAAGATTCCTACAATCTAGCAAAACTTGGAACAGGAGGACAACCAACAGGGCAGAATGAATGGAAGTTGTTTCAGGAAACCAAAGCTGCCACTTGAGACAGAGGGAACAGCTACCTGGGTTCAAACACTCTTGCCTTCCTGGTCTACCTTTTACAGCACCTCAGTGATGCGGTTAGCAGCGCTAATGCCCTCACAGTAACAGGGCAGGACTCCATGGCTTCTCAGGGGACAGTAAAAGATAGTTGCATTTGTGCAGTCTCTTCCTGCAGCAGCCAGCCCCAAATCAGGAAGCTGTGTTTGCTAAGAATGCCATTTCTCTTCTGCCGAGTGCTGGAAATCATGTAGCAGTTTTTTAAAAACGGAGTTCAAAAAATCATTGTGTGGTTTCCAGCATCCAGGAGATATGCAGTGATTAAGTATAATACACTCTTTTGTATTCCATCTGTCTGCATGTGTTCATTAGTTCCCAAGTCTAATTAATGCTCAGGATCACAGAAATTAGATTTATTTATGCTTATATCAACCTCCTGGTAGACCTGCATTCAGTTTATGTAAAGTTGATCTTCCCATCTCTCTCTCACACATGTAAACTGTGCAAGCAAGGTGTCCAGTGTCTCCTGCAGCTACAGTACAAATGACCATGGAGGTGCAGAGCCAGTTGGGAGGTGACCAAACCATGAATTACCATAGCCAATCTATCCTTATTGAGGAATAATCATAGCTGTTGAAACAGCCAAATCTGGTAATGCACAATGCCAGGTGAAAACAGAATCCAGGACAGTATCAGAAAACTATGTACAGTATTTCCTTTTTCATAAACTACCCCCCCCCACTAGAATAGATACATAACTATTCTAAATACATAATACATAAGATACATAAATTAGATAAAAGAATTACCTCCCAGCAAGCCCTATATATTATTGGCGTCTCCTGCTTCAGATGACTTTTTTAAATATAATTTTTATTGAAAGTTTTAAACAAAATAAAAACTAAAACAAG